CCTGGTTTTAGGACACACTCGTGTGTTTAATCCTGACTTTCTGGAGCGTTCACCTTTTATCGAACGCCTCCCCCTCCATGACCTGAGCCTAAATTAGCACCACACAACATACAGTTGACAGGACTTAGAGCCTTTATTTAGGCTCAGTGGATTATTCATTTATTTCTACAAAACTTGATGAGAATAAAACTGCTGACAGAGAAAGACTCCATGCTGCAGTTCAGTCAGGGTTTTTTTTTTTTTTGGTTTGTGTCCCAACCCTCCAAGAAAAACCACTGGCCTACACAGCCCCCAATTATAAATATAACCCACCCCAAAAAAAAGTAAAAGTAAAAGAATAAATGTAAAAAAAGAGGAAGTTATATTTAGCCCAAATCTTTTAAGTTCCCAGTGTGACATGCCACATGGTCCCTTGAAAATGTGCTCTGGCACAAGCGACCTCGTTATGGGCAATTTAAGCTGGCAATGCCACCAAAAGAAGCAGCGGTAAGGGCACAGCTTCAGCCACTCTGTCCATCACAAATTCAGCTTTCCCAAGCTGAACGTGGGACAATCAGGAGGATTTTCACATTAGTCCCCATCCATCCCATTTATGCTACTATACAAAACGCCAGCAAACGAAACCAAACTTCCTCCTCCCTTCAGCCTCCAGTGACGCCGCTTTCCTTCCACCCGAGATGCGGCACGTTTCCATTGGCCAACCTACAGTTGGGAATTCCCCCTCTCCTTCCCTCCCTCCCCACATCAAATAAGATTTTTGCTCCAATAACCTATGCTTTACCATTTCATCTCTACTGCTTTACCACAAAGTGGGAAAAATATCCTCAGTCCGCTCCTGCCATTTAAAAGAACATCCAGATACTTCTGTAGGAGCCTGCAGAAGAACAGACACGTTTTACTTAACACTGCAAGTATTCGTGCTGGCACATTAAAAGCCAATTGCTACACACTAAGCCAGGTAACACACAAAATAAAAACATAAAATAAAAACATTCACTTTCCATTTACTTAGAAAGAAAGTACATTTAATTTCTGTTGGAAAGTAACACATTTCTCCGTTGTTTTGTGTTTGTCTTTTCAAGTAAACAAACCAGCCAACCCACTGCTAAGAGGGCCACAACAGACAACTTAAAGCGAGTGATTATTAAACTTCTGTATCAATCAAGTCATACAGGACTTCAATGTAACTTTCCTTGTAAACTTCTGTACCAATCGAGTCAGTTACACAGGTCTTAAATGTAACTTTCCTGGGTTGCAAGACAACATAATAAGGTTTTCTCTCTCAGGCCCCTGTCTTCCAGCACATGGTAATTGTTCCATGCCCTCTTCATACTGTTTTAGGCCCCAGTTTTGTAACTTACAAACGGCAGTGCAGAGCTTCTGCATCAAAACATTTAAGATTCTTAGTCAAGTTATCCAAGCTTTACAGCTTAAAATATGATTTAAGTGTAAAAGTTTTAAATTCAATGCAGTCCTTTATTTTCTCTGCCCTTTTCTGATAAATGTAGGCCATGAAAATATTTATTTTCCTTTCAAGCTGTGTAAAATGATTTTTCTTTTGTAAATGGTCCATTTTTCTGTTAAGAGTTTTTTGACCGAGTCGAGTAATTAATCTCACAGCATTTTTTAAAACTAGCTTAGGCAGAAGAGAAAAGTCACGTACGGATGCCCGTGCTCCTTGTGAAATCCAATGTTACCCATTTCCCATTTTTTCAGCCACTCCTCCTCACTCATCACCCTGTCTTTTTGTGACCCAATATCAGTGCTTTCCGGGCCCCCAGATGCATCTGCTGAGCGCTCCATCGGCCCCAGGGAGTGTTAGCAGCTGGGGAGAAAAAAAAAGAGAGAAAAATTACCCCCCCATAGAATGGTTTGGGCTGGAAGGGACCTCAAAGATCATCAAGTTCCAACCCCCCTGCCCTGGACAGGGACACCTCCCACCAGACCAGGTTGCTCAAAGCCCCATCCAGCCTGGCCTTGAACACCTCCAGGGAAGGGGCATCCACAGCTTCTCTGGGCAACCTGTTCCAGTGTCTCACCACCCTCATAGTAAAAAATTTCTTCCTGATATCTAATCTGAATCTTTTTTCTTCCAATTTAAAACCGTTTCCCCTTGTCCTATCATTACCCTTCCTGGCAAAGAGTCCCTCCCCAGCTCTTCTTAAATAACCAGCCTAACTAAAATGAAAGGAGACTTTGAAAGAGACAGTTAAACACGCAATGGGCATGAAGGGGACAAAGCAAAGTCTCATGGGGCAGGTGACAAATTTGATCTTCTGAGACCTGGAGGCTGTTCTCCTCTTTGCATAGCTGAGCCTGCTGTGTGACCTTAGGCAAGTTCCTGAAGTTTTTTGCACTTCGTTTTCCTTCTCAACTTTAATCTGGTCTAACTGGAATGGTGGTGGTGGCTCCATATGGGCATTTAATGTAATTTACTCCCCATGGTTTCATCAGGGTCTACAGACATTGCAGGCCGCAGACAGCCTCATGCCGTGGCCTTCCCCCCATCCTGGTCTCCTGGGTGCCCAGAACTCAAGGATCTACTGAGCATCTGGGTGCTCCCTGCCCGTCTGCACATCCAGTTTCCTTCTCAGGAGAACCAAGCCATGAGGAAAAGGTCAAAAAAAGGTACACAGCTGTTTTTCATTCTGATGTGGAGTCAAGATGAAGCTGAGATGTTAGGAAGTGCTCACCTTGGGTGTACCTTTCACATATCACTACCCAATCTTTTAGCCCCGTGTTATCTCCTGCTATGTATTTATATGGAATTTAGCAAGAGAGACCACAGTCTAGGTGCTACCACAACTAATAAAAATTAACATGTAAAGCAGAAATTCACGTCTGCAGAAATCCCACTGGATTTAAGCAGTAAAGTTGTGAATTGCTATCTTTGCGTAAGTTTAATAGATTCAGTTAATGCAATTTTAAATTTATTTTTTTTTTAAGTCTGGCAGCCATAATTGTATTAGGAGGTACAACGGTTGTGTCATATAACTGTTTTACATAAGTCCCGGAGTTTCCACAAAGAGCAGTAATTCCTGTTACTCTTTAACTAGCAAGAGTCTTTGAAACGTCTCATTCTGACAAAGGTCAGAAGCACATCTGAGTTCTCCTCCAATGAATGTGAGGCTAATGGAGATCAAAAGGATCTGTGTGCAGGCCGGCTTCAGCAAGACAGAAAGAAGTTTAATATCCATAATTACTGGATAATTAATCAAATTGTCTGCACATAGAAACTGGAAGAGTGGGTGCATTTTTCTAGTCACAGGTGTCTGCTGGCAGCTACAGGGAATGCAGCTCATACTTTCACCACAACTGCACCCAGTACAGACCCACGCACTCAGGACGTGCCTCTGCCAATTTATTTTGCGGATGACAAACTACGCACTGGACCCAGTAATATGCATGAAAAATGTCACTGATTACTTATTTCATAGTATTACTCCATGACGTTATGAAGGAAGTTACAGGTTTTACCACGCTACTTGCTACAAAACTTAAAACTGAAATTTTTCAAAACTTGCTGACTAGAAGCTTAAGCAATCCCTGGGCAACTTGTTGACTCAGCAAGGATTTACAGGGATCTACACAGCAAGTAGCAACATTGCAGGGGCAAGGCTGGGAAGGAAACCAGGCAGTACCTACAAAGTCACGTTCACACACAGCCCATCTGTTCCAAAACACTCACTTTGCAGGGTATATATACTATATATACTTTATTCAAACCAACTGGAGTCAGCTGCACCAGCAGTGGTCTTAGCAATGGTCTATTGTCTAAAAGATTTTGGGCTACAGTAATAAATATTATTTTTTTCCAGTTTATGCAGATTTAAAAAAAAATAATCCTACACTAAGTACTGTATTTAGTTGTCCTAAACTACCTGTTACGCCTGTATGTGCAGTAGCTCTGAAAAGCTAAAGATTAAGACTGGACCTCCTTCTTCTTATTGAATAGCCATGAAACAAAACATTGTTCCTGACAGTTGTTTGTAAAAAAAAGCAAACAAACACACAAAACTTCACCAAAACCTTATACTCTAGGGAAAGTCATGTCTGAGTAGGCACTTCAAGAGGAGGGAACTGGATTGGAGGATTCTGGACACCTTCAGCTTGCTACAGGAGAGGCTGGAGAGAGTCCTAACTCCTCCTGCAGTCCTTGTACAACTCAGTAGTTTTCAAAATTCCCCTACCAGCTGACACTTGAGCAGAAGGTCAGGTGCAAAGCCACCACAAAATCTGAGAAGTGACGCTTGAGGCCACATTGTTGAAAACATTTTTCAGAAGTCAGCAGTGCAGACTGTATTAAAATATTTTGCATTTTCTGTTGTGCCTTTTAACTGAGAAATAAGGACATTTTCAGCACTAAAAATCCTTCAAAGGACATTAGGAAGTTGAGCCATATTTGTCAAGACACTTGCAGAGTCAGTGTTTGAAAACATATTATGTGGTCACATAAATAAACTAGAGTGAGGCAATATACTTGAAGCCCATCGAGAAAAGTATGTTAAGTAAAGCACAGGACACATATAATCAATAGATACAGCTTACTTATGTATATGTTAATCAATAGTTTTGGGAAAAATATGTATTTAGTACTTGGTTAAAGGAAAAGCTGTCTAAGAAGACACCTCTGGTATATTCTCTTTACTTTTACTAAGCTACTCTGAGTAAGGCACCGTGCTAAAGTTTTTGCTTTGGAGAATCCATCAATGATATTAAACATCATTTGTTTTTACTGTAAAAGCAAACACAGTTTTCTATATTTTCATAGGATGTCTTAGAACAAGACGCCCACTTAAAGATATTTAGTGGGCACCTTTATTTGTCAACAACAGAGTTCATTTTTGTTGGAGACTGGCTATTCACGTTTCTCATACAAGTTAATAAGAGTTTTCTTGAGGAGACCCGTTTCAAATCTTTATGGCTGATCCAAGTAAAAATAATATGACAGCATTAATACTTCTTTGATTACAGAAAATTGTAGAAGACTCTGTGTATTCCTACCTGGACAAATCATAAATACTGCAGCAGTACAGAGAAATGTTCCCAGAGGTACTCTGCAACAAAAAGCAAAGGAAACAATACTTATCAGCAAACACTTTTATTTAGTATTATATATATATAGTGTATATTTATGCTTTATACCTTAAAATATACACATATAGTATTTTAAGATATACACTTAGGTGTAATAGGGCAAAAGTGAGAAATATTTTTAGTTTTTCTTTACTAAGGTACCTCTCCCGATCACCTTGAGTGGTTCTGATCTATCAAAGCATGCAACTGTCCAATTTTAAAATACATTTACTTCACATTCAGGTGCTTCAATGTCATAAGAAAGAGAAGGCCAAAGTAATAAGCTAAAAAGAAGAACTTCTCAGTCCAAAATGACAACTCAGAGCTTCCTTTCAGAACTCTTCAGGAGAGGTGAATGATTACCAGTAAGACAGAGGCATAAAAGCAGAATGACTCGTTTGCTCAGTTATGCCTGTGTTGCATGATTAACCACGCCAGATCATTCCACAACATACCTGCAACAATTTGGCTCCTGAAATCTCTGGGACTGGCTCCTCAGAATAAGACAGACCGTGTTCCCCAAAAAATTCCTTCAGCGCTTGCTCGCTGATTTCCACACCAACAACGCTGTGTCCCATGTCCGCCAGCCTGCAACCAGCAGAGAGAGGCTCCAGTTCACACGAGGCTCACAGGCTGGGCCATTACCAGATGTGCATCTCCCACACACTATTTACTCATTAGAGAAACCCTGGTTTTAGGACACACTCGTGTGTTTAATCCTGACTTTCTGGAGCGTTCACCTTTTATCGAACGCCTCCCCCTCCATGACCTGAGCCTAAATTAGCACCACACAACATACAGTTGACAGGACTTAGAGCCTTTATTTAGGCTCAGTGGATTATTCATTTATTTCTACAAAACTTGATGAGAATAAAACTGCTGACAGAGAAAGACTCCATGCTGCAGTTCAGTCAGGGTTTTTTTTTTTTTTGGTTTGTGTCCCAACCCTCCAAGAAAAACCACTGGCCTACACAGCCCCCAATTATAAATATAACCCACCCCAAAAAAAAGTAAAAGTAAAAGAATAAATGTAAAAAAAGAGGAAGTTATATTTAGCCCAAATCTTTTAAGTTCCCAGTGTGACATGCCACATGGTCCCTTGAAAATGTGCTCTGGCACAAGCGACCTCGTTATGGGCAATTTAAGCTGGCAATGCCACCAAAAGAAGCAGCGGTAAGGGCACAGCTTCAGCCACTCTGTCCATCACAAATTCAGCTTTCCCAAGCTGAACGTGGGACAATCAGGAGGATTTTCACATTAGTCCCCATCCATCCCATTTATGCTACTATACAAAACGCCAGCAAACGAAACCAAACTTCCTCCTCCCTTCAGCCTCCAGTGACGCCGCTTTCCTTCCACCCGAGATGCGGCACGTTTCCATTGGCCAACCTACAGTTGGGAATTCCCCCTCTCCTTCCCTCCCTCCCCACATCAAATAAGATTTTTGCTCCAATAACCTATGCTTTACCATTTCATCTCTACTGCTTTACCACAAAGTGGGAAAAATATCCTCAGTCCGCTCCTGCCATTTAAAAGAACATCCAGATACTTCTGTAGGAGCCTGCAGAAGAACAGACACGTTTTACTTAACACTGCAAGTATTCGTGCTGGCACATTAAAAGCCAATTGCTACACACTAAGCCAGGTAACACACAAAATAAAAACATAAAATAAAAACATTCACTTTCCATTTACTTAGAAAGAAAGTACATTTAATTTCTGTTGGAAAGTAACACATTTCTCCGTTGTTTTGTGTTTGTCTTTTCAAGTAAACAAACCAGCCAACCCACTGCTAAGAGGGCCACAACAGACAACTTAAAGCGAGTGATTATTAAACTTCTGTATCAATCAAGTCATACAGGACTTCAATGTAACTTTCCTTGTAAACTTCTGTACCAATCGAGTCAGTTACACAGGTCTTAAATGTAACTTTCCTGGGTTGCAAGACAACATAATAAGGTTTTCTCTCTCAGGCCCCTGTCTTCCAGCACATGGTAATTGTTCCATGCCCTCTTCATACTGTTTTAGGCCCCAGTTTTGTAACTTACAAACGGCAGTGCAGAGCTTCTGCATCAAAACATTTAAGATTCTTAGTCAAGTTATCCAAGCTTTACAGCTTAAAATATGATTTAAGTGTAAAAGTTTTAAATTCAATGCAGTCCTTTATTTTCTCTGCCCTTTTCTGATAAATGTAGGCCATGAAAATATTTATTTTCCTTTCAAGCTGTGTAAAATGATTTTTCTTTTGTAAATGGTCCATTTTTCTGTTAAGAGTTTTTTGACCGAGTCGAGTAATTAATCTCACAGCATTTTTTAAAACTAGCTTAGGCAGAAGAGAAAAGTCACGTACGGATGCCCGTGCTCCTTGTGAAATCCAATGTTACCCATTTCCCATTTTTTCAGCCACTCCTCCTCACTCATCACCCTGTCTTTTTGTGACCCAATATCAGTGCTTTCCGGGCCCCCAGATGCATCTGCTGAGCGCTCCATCGGCCCCAGGGAGTGTTAGCAGCTGGGGAGAAAAAAAAAGAGAGAAAAATTACCCCCCCATAGAATGGTTTGGGCTGGAAGGGACCTCAAAGATCATCAAGTTCCAACCCCCCTGCCCTGGACAGGGACACCTCCCACCAGACCAGGTTGCTCAAAGCCCCATCCAGCCTGGCCTTGAACACCTCCAGGGAAGGGGCATCCACAGCTTCTCTGGGCAACCTGTTCCAGTGTCTCACCCCCCTCATAGTAAAAAATTTCTTCCTGATATCTAATCTGAATCTTTTTTCTTCCAATTTAAAACCGTTTCCCCTTGTCCTATCATTACCCTTCCTGGCAAAGAGTCCCTCCCCAGCTCTTCTACAGGCACCCTTCAGAATAGCTTGGAACTGGCTCTCACTTCCTAGAATAAAATAAAAATTTCATATAGCTCAAGAGATTACGATTTGGCGGCTATTCAAAGGGAGCTGGACTGGAGGTGATAGAGGATACACTCGCTATGGGCGGCTAGACTTTTGGTTTTTTGTTTTTGAGTGACGCCTGCTCAAACGCAGCCGGTTAAACGCTATGGAAATGCCGGTGACCCCCCCCTCCCCCCCAAGTTTGGCACACATCTGGAAAGCTGCCCCCGGGATGGGGGGGGGAGAACGGACACCCCCAAGCCCGGGGCCGGTAAGTAGGTGGGTAGATACCGAGGGTTCTCCCTCTCTCGCGTAAAACCCGTGGGCAGACCCTTCGTGGGGGGGGGCGAAGGGGACCCCTTGCCGCCCCCCCCTCCTCCCCCAGCCCGGGTACCTGCGCGGCGGCGTCGGCGGGGCCCCCGGGGGGCTGCAGGGCCGGGGCGGCGTCTCCCCGCCCTTCCTCCTCCTCCTCCTCCCCCCCCGCCTCGCTACGCACCGCGGAGAGCGGAAGCGGCGGCAGGAGGAGGCGGGCTGAGGGTGCACGGCACCGGGGAGGAGGAGGAGGAGGAGGAGGATGGCGGTGGGGATGGCGGCGGCGGTGGTGAGTGATACCCCTTTTCCCCAGCTGTAACCCCCGCTGGTTGAGGGGGGGGTAGGAGGCTGCCGACCCCCTCCCTTCCCGGGCGGCGGGGCAGGTGCGAGCGCTGCCCCCCCTCCTCAGCTTCCCCCTTCCTTCTCTCCCTCCCTTCCTTCTCCCCCCTCTGCAGCTCTAGCAGGAGGAGGCGGCGCGGACACGAGTGGATGTGGTCTCCGGCCCCACAGTGACCCAGCCCCGAGGTGAGTGCCAGGCGGCTCCCGCTTGGAGAGGAGGGGGGGGGACACACACAACCCCCCCCCCACACCCCGGGGGCGCACCCGGCTCTTCCCCCCCCACCATCTCCTCCCATCTCCGGTCAGTAACTTTATTTTCTCTTATTTTCAGCATGGGGCCCCAAATTAAAAAATGTGTCAGCAAATATTTCCTTGACTCACTGGTGCTATTCCTCTAAGAGAGGATTTTTTACATTTTTTTTTCTTTTTTGTTCCCCTCCCCAAAGACAGACTTGCCCTCAGCTGCCCAGGTGACACCCCCCTTTCCCACCCCCCCTACCCCCCCCAAAGCTTTCCCATGTAGGCCACGCGTTGCTGAGGGATGAAATGTTACAGGACGTGACAGCGTATTATCCACCTCTCTCTCTCTCTCTCCTTTTAAAGGGCTTATTTCTCAGCCCCTATGACAGTGTTTCTAGGATGCAGAGTCATGTAAAGCTTACTAAAGTAAGCGATGTTTTGCTTGTTCTTTAAAAAAATCTGTGGGTTTTTTTTTTTTTTTGAGGGGGGTGTTGCTTATTTTGGGAGGGGAAGTGGGGGCAAAGTGGCGTACAGCTGGAAGCAATGGCCTTGCTTACAGTTTTATGCATAAGGCAATCTCTTTTTCTCCCCACCTCCCTCTCTCCCCCCCAAATTAGTGCTCACAGCAAAAAATACATTTCTGATTCTATATGGCCTCTGCCTTTCAAACCGGGAGGCCTCTCTGAATATGAAATATTTTTTCCAGCCTTCTCAGTGAACGGTAACCACCACCTTTTCTTCTTCTCACCCCATATATGCAAGGGAGCAGCTGTGTGTCCTTTTACCTTCTTGGATGTGGGGCCTGGCAGTGGCAGCAGGACTCTGATCACCTGGTGGTCACCCAAAATGAGCCTCCTGGTGCCTTGCTCGGCGCTAAGGTAGTCCATGGCCTCCCACTGTAAAGGCAGCAAGCACGTAGGAACGATTATCTCGCGTCAGAAGCTCAGGTGATAGATACTGCTGTGCTGCTGATCCAGAAGGAAAGCTCTGGGGGGTGGAAAAAAAGCCACCGTTTCCTGGGGCGTAACACAGTAGTTTAGGGAAATCTCATGTAAACGAAACTGGTTGGTTTTCTTTTCTCTGCTCTCCAACCTCATCCACCCCCATACAGTGGTAAGCTATGGTGGAGTCATGCTTTTTTTGAGGTAGTGAAGATTGACTTGACTTAATTCTTTTTTCCTGCCCCTAGTTAAAATTGGAGGGGGGGGGGTGTTACATACAAAAAAGACAGTGATTTTTTTGGTCTCTAAACTAATTTTTTACGTATGTAGATATCATCATGTGATTTCGCTTCCCCTCCCAAATCAATTTATTCTATCTTGAGAATAAAGCAGCAGGTTACTTGATTTGCATCAGCTTCATTTGAAACTTAAATGCCTATTCCCTCCTCCTGTTACCTTTACTTTTAGCAGAATTCCTTAATGAAGCTACTGCTGCCATGTCCGCCACTGTCAACTTGTACAAGGAAGATGCAGCCTGGAACAGAGAGAATAGAGAATTCTCAAATATATTAAAAAAAAAAAAACAGCAATAATTACAAACTGATCCCTACCACGACAAGCTAACTTTCATAATGCAGTGCTCTAGTATAAAGGTTTTATTTCCACTTCCTCTTTGTGTGAGGTGGAGCGTATTTAGATTTAATTCTTCCTCTAGGCTCTATTTATTTGCGTTTTACTCCCTGTGAAAAGAATGTCTTTGATAATAGCGTTTTAAATATGCTTTCATATTTCTGTGGCACACTTTCTCACACTCTGTGCTTTCCAGCTTACATGATAAACTGTGGTCTTTTCCGTGTTCCCACTGATGTAGTCAGAGACAGCTGTAGAGCTCTCTTGTGGCGTAAACCTTTTATTTTCTCCTATAAGATGCTTAACAACAAGGTTTGTAATATTCTGATCATCTATAATCACAACGCAACTGCAGTTTCGACTTGAAATTCTGATGTACTTTCACTGGAGGACGTGCAGGTCTTGGAACTGGCTGTTCCTCCGGTATTAAGCATCTCTTCAGATGCTTAATTCCAAAGAGTACGCTGCTTGGAAAAGTGCTTTACGGTGCAAATCTCTTGCTACCAATAAATCAGTAGTTAGCAGGATGAGGGTTACTCAGAGTGGGATTTCAAGGCTTGCATTAGGAGCTGATGTCTGTTCACTTCCCCGACCCAAATTCCAGTCTAGGTCTTCACGTAACGCAAATCAGATTATTGAAATCCAGGGTGCGCGGATCTGGAACAGCCTGTCAAGATGTGCTCAAGGATCTAATCTTAACTCCGAATTTAGTTTAAAATAGTAGTATTGTTCCTTTCCCATAATGCCTCCTTCTCCTTTTCCTCCCAAATTAACAGTCAAGCTAAACAGATTCTTACCTAGGTAACTCTGACAGAAGTAGTATTATGAGTGGTCGTACAGCTCTGCAAAGTCAAGTAATTTAATTTTTTTTCTTAACTACTGCCTACAATTTTTTTTCAGATCTAATAATACAATGTCAACTGGAAGGGTACGAACGAAAAAAAAGGCATGTTCTTCAGACCAGTCTCCAGATAACCTTCCTCTGAGGAGTTCTGGAAGACAGGTATTTATAATAATTTAAAAACACGTGGGTTCATACTCTGGTATTTTTTTATTTCCTGTTGACGTTTATAAGCACCATAAGTGGACTCATCCAGAGAGAGGGAGAATTGGCTAATTCTATTAACAAGTATGCAAAGTGTCTCATTTGTGAAGAACATTCAGAAAAGACAAATGTTCAATATAACCTGTAAATACTTGATGTGTTAAAAATACAACCACAGATTTCTGTACAGCCAAAGCTGTCTGCCCATCCAGACGGAGGCCTACAACAACACAAGACAGAGTACCTTTGAGGCCCAGAAGAGACATTTGATACACAGCCCTGTATCTGGCGTCCAAAAAAAAACTCCAAGCCTGCCCTAGTATTCTATTTGATGCACAGATAAGACTGCCACTGATCAATAAGTATGCAAAGAAGAGATTTTCTGAAGGAGAAATAGAATGAATGCATAAGGCTTGACTCATTAGCGTGTGATAGAGCTTAAAATATGATTTACACTGGAAGCTTTGCTTATAATTTCTTCAGTGGCATCAGTAAGACTAAGACAATACATTTTTAGCTTTAAATGATATTTCCAGCCTTACTGGTTTTTTGCTTTTTTCGGTAGAAAAACTGACCTACTTTGACAGCTGTTTCATGCTGCAGCTATTTCACAATGGATACGAAAATTTTCATTTGTACCATTTTAGCCATTTGATGCTCCCCACAAGCTGCAAAACTGTCTGAATGCCATTTTGTAGAAGATGCATTTGTGTCATTTCTGGTCAGATTTCAGCTATTCTTTATTAGGTGAAGAAGAAAGCGGCTGAAGCAGCAGATGATGATGATGAAGCGTCAGAGAAGAAATATAGAAAGTGTGAAAAAGCTGGATGCACTGCAACGTGTCCCGTTTGCTTTGCCAGTGCAGCTGAGAGGTTTGTTTCTTTTTATTTGCATTTTCCATGGACTTTCCTAAACTTGCAGCTGAAGTTTAGGATCCTAACTCTATTCTGAAAAATCCCTTTGTTTCGAAACGTAGAGGGAGAATCGAAAGGTACAAATAATGAGTCTTAAGATGCCAGGAAAGTGTCACAAGTTTTTCTTCCTGTGGGTAACTCTCTACTGTGCAAGTTGCTAATTCAGATATAGAATATCTTTAGAATAGGCTTATTTGTGTTATTAATGGTGTCTTCTGGAACACACCTTGCCTCTGTGAAACTGAGCGCGTATCGGTGTAATCTGAGGAAGCTGAACTTGCTTTCAAGATGGAAAATGAAACTGTCGTTTACTGCAGAAAGCCTTTACTGCTCTTTCGTTGGAATGCTTTGCGGTCCGAGGTGAGGTTCTGACCTTGAAATTTCAGGTCTTGGGAGACAAGTTGTACTTACTTAAACTCTTTGTTCTTGAGTTGTTGGTGGCTTTCTGTGTACTCCCACAAGTCCTTTTGCACGCTGACCCCGGAGATACTGAACGCACGATACTGACAAGATGTATCTATAATAAGCAACACATTAGGACTCATTATGCAGCAGGCAGACTGTAATTATATATAGTATTCCTCCCTCCCTGGTTAATTGAGGCAAACTTTCCTTGTTTTATTTATTTTCCAACGATATAAAATAATTCAGTGCTTCATTTGGTTATCTGCGTGGATTGTTCTTCGGTGGCAGGAGGTCAGTCTGTTCTGGATGTTGTCACAGGAAAGCCAAGCGTTTTGGCAGTGGGGTTAGAGACTCGTAGGGGAAACGAGCACCCGAGAGATCAGCATCGGTGATACTGTGGTTTTTATTAAGGAAACAATAGATACTGCTTAGTCATCTTTTTGAATTGTTATTTTAATATTCTGATTTCTACC